TTTTCCTTCCGCTCAACTTTCTGTTAACATGCTTGGATAGAGCACTCTGTGAACAGCCAGCTTCTTTGGCAATGAGTGTTTGTGGCTTACCCTCCTTGTGAAGGGTGTCAATGATTGTCTTCTGGACAACTGTCAGATCAGCAGTCTTCCCCATGACTGTGTAGCCTAGTGAACCAAACTGAGAGACCATTTTGAAGGCTCAGGAAACCTTTGCAGGTGTTTTGAGTTGATTAGCTGATTGGCATGTCACCATATTCTAATTCGTTGAGATAGTGAATTGGTGGGTTTTTGTTAAATGTGAGCCAAAATCATCACAATTAAAAGAACCAAAGACTTAAACTACTTCAGTCTGTGTGCATTGAATTTATTTAATACACGAGTTTCACAATTTGAGTTGAATTACTGAAATAAATGAACTTTTCCACGACATTCTAATTTATTGAGATGCACCTGTATATATATATATATATATAGAAAAGCTACCCACACAGTGGTTAAATACACAGTCAACCGACAATAAATCAATAGGACAAAACTTGGAATCTGTAACCTGACTCTGTGTTAATGTTTGGTTATATTAAACTCACTGATCCCTCTAAAGCAAGCAAGAGTAAATCAGACCTATAAACGTGATTCATCACTCAAAAATCGGAGATTTAAAGACTAGATTTAATAAAACAACTCTAAATGCCACATATTTTTAGGGCAAGGCTGACATTGCTAAATCTAAGATGCTCTTTGTAAGTAGTAGATGTTATGTTCCCATAGAAATAGCAAACCCAGGGAATTTGTGTGTTTTTATAATAAATATATAGCTAGTCTGCAGGGGTGGAAACCCTGAATATACAGTAAGATGTCTTTGGAAAATCTCCTTTAAAAACTCTACCATCTGTATTAATTCTTATCTTTACTGTACATACCGTACAGCATAGAAACCAGCCTTACAGGTGCTCTGTAGAGATTAAACTAGACCTATAGAAACCTAGACTGATAAGACTGATTTTTGCGATCTGTGTGTGTGTGTGTGTTCATGCACTTCTGTTTGTTTCTATGTCCTAGATACATCCCTATAGTAACAAACTCTGCGAGCAAGTCTAGGCAGGTTCAACATTTGAATTCAATTTATTATTGCCTAATCTTTTTTTTGTTTCTGATTTCCACAGTAAAACATGTTCACTTAGATTCTGTATCTACTATGTGTAGAAACTATGCAAGCAATTGTCCTTCTAGCCTTTCAGTGGAAAAGAATGGAAACAGTCATAAGATGAAAAATGTATATTTTTAAATCTTATGCATATAATGTTGTTTCCAGCAACAGAAAACTTCATGGATTTATTGTTTCACTGTATAAATAGTTTGTTGTGAGTTGCAGCATTGCAGTGTTGTGTCAACATCATTGTCTGTCATCATCTCATCCCTCTCTCTTTCTCCATCAGGTATTTTCTCTGGAAGTTGATGACAGTGTTGTTGATGGAGGATGCGTGGTGTGATGCGTACACATGGCCTCTGCTGGTCTTCTTGTTCTCCTGCTGTGTATATCCATTGGCCTCCAGCTGCGCCCACACCTTCAGCACCATGTCTACCCGCGCTCGCCATATCTGCTACTTCTTTGACTATGGGGCACTCAGCCTGTACAGCCTCGGTAAGAGAGGAACACACAGGCATATTCACTTCAACACTACACTCTTAAAAATAAAGGTGCTTCACGATGCCATAGAAGAACCTTTTTTTGTCTAAATGGTTCCGTAAAGAACATTTAACATCTGAAGAGCCTTTCTGTTTCACAAAAGGTTCTTTGTGGCAAAAGAAGGTTCTTCAGATTATAAAAAGGTAAGAAAGAGATGGATCTTTAAAGAACCTTTGACTGAATGGTTCTTTGTGGAACCAAAAATGGTTCTTCTATGGCATCGCTATGAAAGACCTTTTAAGCAGCTTTATTTTTAAATGTGTATCAGTTCCTTGGCTTGTTATAGAAAATATGTCTATAAAGGCAAAGTTCAGGGTTCAAAGTTCTGTACGGCAATATTTAACAGACACAATGGAATTCTTGCACAATTAATGCAAATACAGATATGTCACAATACTCTATATTATTTCTAGGGATGCTATGGCAATAGAATTCTGTCCAACACACATAAGCTGATCATTATTTAAAATTTGGCCAATAACTAGTAAATTTATAATTAAAATTAAAACGATGTTTTGTGTAAATAAATTGAAAATAAAATACTAAAAACTAAAAATCATCCATTTTATATGATACAAGGGAATTTAGGCATCACAACGCTATAATGCTGAGTATGGAAAATAGATATTTATTTTCAGACATTTTTAACAGTGTTATGAAATTATTATAGTATTTTAAGATTAACTTTAAATGTGCTTTAGATGGTAAAGGTAATCCAAATATAAAAATACACTGGTAGCCAAAAGTTTGGAATGTTTTTTTAGTGTACAGTAAAAACAGTAATATTGTACAGCATTATTACAATTTAAAATAACTGTTTTCTATTTGAATACATTTTGGAATGTAATTTATTCCTGCGAAGGCAAAGCTGAATTTTCAGCAGCCATTTACTCCAGTCTTCAGTGTCACATGATCCTTCAAGAACCATTCTAATATGCTGATTTGGTGCTCAAATAGTATTTTCTTAGTTTTATTACATTTTCTTACAAATAATATTTTCTTGTAATTATTGTTTCTTGTTGTTGTTGTGGAAACTGTATGATTTAAAGAAAGAAAGAAAGAAAGAAATAAAGAAAGAAAGAAATTGATCAAAAATTTATCAAAAGTGACACTAAAGACATGTATAATGTACAGTAATAAAAAAGAATATATTTCAAATAAATGCTGTTCGAATAATCTATTCATCAAAGAATCATTAAAAAAATAAAAAATAAAAATTATGGTTTCCACAAAAATACAAACAATGTTTTCAACTTTGATAATATTAAGAACCATTTTTAATAATTGAGCACCAATATTAACTTAGTACCAAATCAGCATATTAGAATGATTTCTGAAGGATCATGTGACACTGAAGAATATTGACTGCTGAAAATTCAGCTTTGACATCACAGGAATAAATTACATTTTAAATTATAATAACCAGTATGGTACCGATATATTGTGCATCTCTTATAGACTTACTGTATGCCACAAATGGACACTTCCACACGTCATGACCAAATCCTCCACACAGCATTAAGTTGTATTCATGTGACTGATTGCATGTTGATGCAGGTTCAGCGATCAGCTACTCTGCGTATGTTTTTCCTGACGCATGGCTGAACAGCACATTTCATGCATACTACATCCCTGCAGCTGTACTAAACACCATCCTCTCAACCTGCATGGCCTGCTACTCCAGGTAAGGCTCCATCTCATTCTATAATCCTCCTTGCTAACACACCACTACATGCAGGGTTATGTAGTTCTGGTGAGCGAGTATGTGTAACAAGATCAATTTGGATGAAAATAGCAAACTTAAACAGGCAAATCTATACTAAATATACGAAAACACCCTAATTTACATAACATAATTTACGTACATTGAAAACAGTAGCTATATTACAGAGATTAATTCTGAATAATTTTTGTCAATCTGTTCATTTACATAATTTGTCCGGATCACTAAATTAATTACAATGCGTCACTTTTTCAAAGCTGGCTCCGAAATTGCATACTCTCTGAGTAGGTACTTTGTTTGAATAAGTACTTGCATACTTTAAAAAAAAGTATGTTCTAGATAATATGAATGTGTGTAGCATGTAATCCGGACATACTACATTTGTCATGTAACCTACCAGCATCAGTTGCATCCCTTCATTGCCATTCACATGTCCTCTCCCATGGCCTCATGGGATAGTAAAGTGTCCAACAGACACACTTCAGAATCTCGCAATAAGTCAACCGGGTATGTTTTGCCTACAGTTTTACAAATACTGTGAATTAGATGTGAATTCTGTACTACTCTTTTGAAATACTGTAGGGAAGTATGCATACATATTAAAGAGAGAGGACCATTTGGGATGAACTGATTTACTAGAATAAATCAGTCTGAGACAGATGACCATTTAGGCGAGAGTGTTTCACTATTCCTTCTTATCAGATATTAGCAATATATAATTTGCTCCATCGCCGCTCATTGGATGAGTGTTACTGGAAAAAGTAAACTAGTATAAAAATAGCTTGCTACTAAAAAATGTAGTTAAGTTAGCGTTCCCACTAACTCCTCAACACTGACGCAAACAGCATCAAGAAAGAAAATCCTGCATGCTACATTTTAAATAAAGACATGTTATAAATTCAGTCTGTGCTACAGTAAGTGTGTGAAATACAAGGCTTGTTATATAAACATGACATGGCAGTTTTATAGTTCAATATTATTTTCCTTTTCCACTTTTTGTTAAGGCTTGGCATACCATTCCTTCACTATAACCATGGCATCGATGAAAGGTAACAGTTTAAACCCAGAACGTGTCAGAATCCTCTGGCACTCACTAATATGCTTTCTTTATCTGCCTTTTAACCCATTAAAATGTGGTATAATATTATTAACACAAAACACTTCCACCTATTTTTGTTAATGAGGTGGCTATGTGTTTTTGGGATTATGAACAATCAATCTCTCTTAACTGCTACTAACAATTACATAACCTCACCACCGGCACTGAAACTGATGTTATCATAAATGAACATAAAAATGTCTTTCTCTCTCTCCCTGTCAGATTCTTGGAGAGACAGAGCCCACGGCTGAGTAAGGTGTTGCGAATTCTTGCCTTTGCCTACCCTTACCTGTTTGACAACATTCCTCTCTTCTACAGGGTAAGTTTCAGTACATTCAACGCAAATACCCAGGCTGTTCAGTCAAAGATCAGTCTGGTTAAATAGCCTGATATGATATCCAAAAGAATGAAGCTGGCAATTCTGCGATTTGTATTGGAAATGACTGTTTTATCTATTTATCATGTTGTTTATCACCGGGGCCAAATTTTTACACACTTCATTGCGTTGTTAAAAAAAGTTTCTAGAAATGTTTATGCATGTTACTTGAGCATATGAATACAATACAGGGCGTGACCTGTCATTTTTTCTGTTGCCTCCTTCTAGTTGTTTCTGTGTGTAGGTGAGGGTTGCACTGATAATGAAGCAAACTCCATTCATGTTCATCATACATTGCTTGCTTTTCTCACCGGCTTCCTGTTTGCAACACACTTGCCTGAGAGACTGGCACCTGGACGCTTTGATTACATAGGTAATTAATGACCGCTCACATAGATATTAAATCATTATAATTATTAAATATAGTGTATGTTTCTAGTGCTGCGTTTTTTGTATTTTTCACAATCTCTTCTAAGAATACTCTACGGGTGAGAGAACTAGTTCATTACCGAGGGTTAGTACCTGAATTATAATAGGTGTTTAATTAAAAAGTCCAGACTCAAACATTTATAAGAAATTCAGAAAGCACACTTTAGAATTACCGTACATCTTTGAAACAGCACCACAGGTATTTCTTCAGGAAATCTTGATTCATGTGAATGGCTCTCTTCTGACCCCTACAGGCCACAGCCATCAACTGTTTCACGTGTGTGGAATAATTGGGACACACTTCCAGATGAAGGCCATCGAAGCTGACATGGTGCTGAGACAGTCACAGCTGCTGGTCACTGTTCCTCCTTTCACATTTAATAACACAGTTGGATCAGCTCTGGTCTGTGTCTGCATCAGTCTGGGGATCATATGTCTTTATAGTCTACCTCTGCTGTGTGGCTCCTCAGAAACACACACAACGGGGACTGAAGGAAAGAAATGCGAGCACTAAAAGCTACTTGAGACAGGGGGTCTCTGAAAGATTAATTGCAGTCTTGCACAAGTTACCAGAGTTATTATGAAAATATAACTAGGACGTTCTTACCGGATATTACGTTATAAAAAATCCCCACGAGGGGTTGTACGTTTACTGAAGCTATGCAACCTGAAATAGCAAAGAGTAATGAATGTGTTACTGCATGAATTCTGCTTCTCAGGGAAGAAAAAAAAAAAAAAAAAAAAGGGCACGGAAGCTCAGGACAATGTAAGTCAGTGGGAGGGTGCGTGCGTCAAAGTGGTCTTTTTGTATGGTGTATAGAAACCCATTTATTAAATTATTATTAAATTTACATAATTTACATAACAATCACACTTTATTACATAGACTCAAATTGGTGATTATTTCGTCAGTCCAACATGATCCATCCAATTTTTCTACTCTATATATTAGAGCATGCATTTGGAATTAACTAATTAATTTGAATGAATCAGACATTTCTATGCTACAAATGAGAGCGGAGACCGTTTGGGACGAACCGATTCTCTTGGAATAAACTGATTCACTAGAATGAAGCACACTTTCCTACACTACATACTGTGTGAGAGGACCATTTAGGATAAACCAATTCACTAGAATGAATCTGACTTTCCTACAATAGCAATTTCAATTTTAAGACATTTGGTCATAATCTCAGGACATAATACTCAAAAATGATACTTAACTCAAAAATGAAAATTGGCAAGTAAATGGCTACCATGACTTGAGCGAGAGAGAGAGAGAAATATAAGGCATATGCAACACAAAATTAATACCGTAAACAAACTGGTGAATCGGTTATTTGAAACACATAGAAACAAACCCTTTCTGCCTAAGGGCATTCTTGCACAAGCCGACATTGTTTTGCTTTATAAGATCTCAATATATCAGTAGGAGTGACGTATTAATTTTGTGATGCCTGTATTTTATTATTATTTTTTTGGCTCTCAAGTGATGGTAGGTGTTGCATTTTATGAATCACCAAGAACCATGGTTTCAGCTAAAAACCTTCTTTACTGTTCTACTGAAGAAGAAAAAAGGTTGAATAAATGAACAGCTAATTTTTGGGGGTTTATCTCTTTAATATATGTCCCTAGATTGAGATCAAATGTCTTAAAATTAAATGAAAACGCGCTCCACTATTTTATTCATACATGGTCATATTTCTTTTATGTACAGACAAACACCTCAACAAATGAACTAGCACTGTTAGATAAATATATGCACAATTACCTGTGTGCACAGTCTGCCAAAGTCCACAGTGACAGCTGTTGTATATTCTACTTATTTCTTTTCTGTAAAACTGCACCACTTTTTTCCTGTGGTGTCAACAGAGTGTGGGAGGTATTACATATTTTCATAACAGCAGGTCACACCTTGTTCATGTAACCAAAAATGAAACTATTTATGTTTGCAGGATTCTTTATAATAAAATATTTATTTCTAATCAAGCTAGACCTGGTTTTTATTTTTTATTGAGACCTATCAGCCTTTCTGACCTTTATCAGCATGATGCCAAGAGAAGGTTATATTGGTATTGTAAATAGGGTGAAGTCAGCAAAAGTGGGACATCAGTTAAAATGGGACAAATAAGCTTTTGGTGTAGTGCGCCTTAAAAAAAATACTGGTAATAATGGGTGGTCTTGAAATGTTATAATAACAGTACTTCATTGAATATCAAACTTTGATTAGTCAAATGAAAATCATATGGATGTGGTTACCACTCAAGTGCTGGAAGGTCTGAGAACCCAGGTGAAAAAGAAATATATTTAAATTGTGCTTTTTCAGACAGAAGCCTCTGGAGCTGAAACCTACGGAGCCCGGGAAGTCACCTGTAGGAGAAAAAAAAAACAATCCGTCCCCTCAGTTTATTAACCGTACTCACGAATTCTTAAACTGTTCCCTCGGTTTAACAAATCGTGCCCAGGGATTAATAAACCGTACTCACGAATTTCCAATCCGTACGATCAGATTTTGTACACTGTACCTTCGGGTTTTGAATCCGTAGGCTACCCACAAATTCATAATCCGTGCGCACGCTTTCGCAATCCGTTCCCTCAGGTTTGTAAACTCGTGGATTTGTGGCCCCGCCCCCACCGGCAGATTCAACCACGGTGCGGGATGCATATTAAACATTATTTTTCATAGTATGAGACCATAATCCGCACTCACAAAATAGTCTTATTTTTAGCGTTTATTTTATATTAATCACCAATAGGATAAAACACCTCCGCCTGTGGTTTATAGCCTAAAATAAACGCTAAAAAGAAGAATAGAACATTTCCTGAATTTTCAAAAAAATACAAATAAAATAATAAAACGATAGAGTTTCGAGAGAAGAAGGTAAAAAGTAATACAAAACCAATAATGTACCGGTTATGTTGTCATTCCTTTGCTCTCTAACTGAATGCAATGTTATAATAGGCCTAGTTATTTAATAATAACTTTAACAGTGAAGCATGCATCTAACTCTGGGGGAAAAAGCTTAGTATAATAAAATCACCTAAATAAGTCTGTGAATGAATGAATGAAATATGTTAAGAATGAATAGTACACAAACACAGCTCCAAAACTGTAAAAGGTTATTTAAAAATAAAGCATTCATGAATTATTTTATGACAAACATTTTACTGTCTTAAGTGCACTCATTTATTTAGCCTATAAATTAAAATAATAATAATAATAATA